AAAAAAAAAAAAAAAAAAAAAAACCCAAAAAGAAGAACAATATTCTCATCTTAAAAGTAGTATAAATGTGCCATGTGCATGATGTATTATATAACTATGTGAAAATTCTTCGTCATGAGTAAAGATAAAAAATGAAGAAAATTTAAACATTGAAATGAATATTTGGAGCTTACAAATAATTCATACAGTGATTGTATTCACATTTAGCAAAAACATCATAGTAAGACAAATACTCTCTCATGGTTCTGTGGCGCTGGTCACACAGGACCAGTGAGTGACACAGAGCATCACTGAAGAGCAGGAAGCCTTCTGTGTTTACAGTTAAGGACCCCATTATTCCAGCACTGAGGATTTCTCCCCCGGTACCACGGATCGAACTCAGTACCTTGCACTTGTGAGGCTGGTGCAGCGCCATTGCGCTAAATCCCCAATCCTTTGTACTTTTATTAATAACTTCTTTTAAGATCTCAATGCTATTTGTATAGTTTTCTTTCTTTATCTATATAATTTAGGCAAACGGCAATGTTAAAAATGATGATGTCTTCCTCAAGTCAAGGAGAGATTGGTGTGAAGTAGTTCAAGTCTTAAAGGAAAACAACCTCCAGTTCAGATTGACGTATGTCTCAAAATTATCTTTCAAAATTAATGGAGAGGGCTGAGGATTTAACTCTGGTTCTGGTGCCTGCCTCACAAGTGTGAGGACCTGAGTTCAATACCCGTTTACCCCCCCCCACAAATTCATAAACTCAAGGTGAAGGAATGGAAAACAATATTCCATGTAACAGAAACCCAGAGGAAAGCAAGGGTAGCAATTCCATTTGCAGACAAAGTGGATTTCAAGCCAAGACTGATTAAGAGAGACAAGTTCACTACATCCTTGCAAAGGGAACAATCCAAGAGGAAGAGATGACCATCATAAATATATATGCACCAAATAGCAATGCACCCAACTATATAAAACAAATATTGAAGGACATGAAAAATCTTATAAGCACTAGTACAGTTGTAACGGAGAGCCTCAGTACCCCACTGTCACAAATAGGCAGATCAACTAGACAAAAAATCAATAATGAAATATTAGAACTGAACCATACTTTTGAACAAGTGGACGGAGTAGAAGTCTGCAGACCATAATGTCAGAATACACGTTCTTCTCTGCTGCACACAGGATGTGCTCCAAAATAGACCACTACATTAAAACTACAGTGCTCTGAAAAAGGAGACTGAAGAGGGTATCAGAAAGTGGGAAGATCACCTACCTCACAAGCACAAGGACCCGAGTTCGATTCCCAGTACCAAAAAAAAAAAAAAAAAAAAGTGGAAAGATATTGCTTGTTTTTGGATGGGAAGAACTAATATAGTGAAAATAGCCATATTTCCAAAATTGTTATGCAGATTTAATGCAACACCAATAAAAATTCCAACTGCATATCTCACAGAACTAGAAAAATTAATCCTAAAATTTATTTGGAATCGGAAGAGACCTAGAATAGCACAGGCAATTTTGGGCAACACAGGCAAGGCAGGGGGCATTGCAATCCCTACCTGAAATTACACTACAAAGCCACTGTGATAAAACAGCGTGGTACTGGCAAAAGAACAGACCCGAGGATCAATGGAACAGATTAGAAGATGCAGAAACAACTTCAGACACACTCCGCCACCTTATCTTTGACAAAGGAGCCAAACATCTGTTCTAGAAGAAAGACAGCCTCTTCAATAAATGGTGCTGGAAAAACTGGCTCTCCACATGCCAAAGAATGAAACTAGACCCACGTCTCTCACTGTGCACTAACCTAAAATTGAACTGATCAAAGATCTAAATATTAAAACAGAAACACTAAACCTGCTGGAAGAGAGAACAGGTAGAACGCTTGAGGACACAGGAGTAGGCACAGACTTCAGGAACAAAACCAGACTGTGTGGGAAATACAACAGAGATCCAACAACTGGGTCCTTGCCTTATTAAAAAGCTTTTGCACAGCAAGAGAAACCACCAACCGCTATTCATCAAAGGCCTACTATCTAGAATATATAAAGAACTAAAAAAAGTCAATCCCTCCAGATGGAAAGACCCAATCCAAAAATGGGCATCTGAAATGAACAGGCATTTCTCAGATGAAGAAATAGAAATGGCAAAGTGTAGGGAAAGTGGGAAGGGTAGGGAAAAGGAAATAAGGGGAAAGAAAAATATGAGAAAAGGAAAAAATGGAAACAAAGTCTCTGTAAATGGAGAGGGTGGAGGGGGTGAAGGGAGGGCAGGGACAAGGGGAAAAATGAGAACCAAGACCTGTCATGTAGAGGTACAAGATCCCAGTGATGAATGTAACTGTACTGTATACCTAAAATGTACCAATAAACCAAAAGAAAAGAAATAGAAATGGCAAATAAATATAGGAAAAAATGTTCAACGTCACTGGTCATTCAAGAAATTCAAATTAAAACAATGTTGAGATTTCATCTTACTCTAGAAAGAATGGCTGCTATCAGGAAATCAACTAATAACAAATGCTGGCGGGGCTGTGGGGAGAAAGGAACCCTTCTCCGCTGTTGGTGGGAGTGCAGACTGGTGCAACCACTGTGGAAATCAGTGTGGTGATTTCTCAAAGAACTGAAATGGGAGTTCTCTTTGACCCAGCTAATTCCCTTCTTGGTGTCTTTCTGAAAGTATTAAAAGCATCCTACCTCAGCAAGGTATGCACACCCGTGTTTAGAGCAGCACAGTTTGTAATAGCCACAACTTGGACACAGCCCAATTGCCCAGCCACTGACGAGTGCTTTTCTAATGCAGTGGAGTACTACTCTGTCATAAAGAAGGATGCGCTTCAGACATTTATAGCTAAATGGATGGACCTTGAGACTATGTGCTTAAGTGAAATAAATCGGACACATGTTTAAATACTGCATTGTTTCTCAGATGCGAGAAACTGAAAGTGGAAAGAAGGACTGGGATGTATAATGGATGTTGGAAAAGAGGAAGAAAGTGTTCAAATGGGAAGCGGAACAAGGGAGGAGGGGGAAAGGAAGGGAGAAGAAAAAATGTGAAAATAGAAGGAAAAATGGAAACAGAGCTTCTGTACCTGGGGAGAGGGGACTTGAGGGGGGAAAGGGATAAAATAAAATTGGTTAAAAATAAAAGTTGTTCTCGATTTTAAAAAAGAGAACTGTTATACAGCTTGGTAAGTATCAGGCTTTCCAATTAGTCAAAAACAAGGTTGAGGCTGGGCGTGGTGGTGCACACCTGTCATCCCAGCACTCGGGAGGCTGAGACAGGAGGATCGCTGTGAGTTCGAGACCAGCCTGGGCTACATAGTGAGTTCCAGGTCAGTCTCAACTACACAGGGAGACCCTGTCTCAAAAAAACCAAAAACAAAACAAAACAAGATTGAAATGATCAACTTCCCACCAAACAAACACATTTTTATCTGTGTATTTCCTTTTTATAGCAAAAGGAAAACAATCTCTTTGTTTTTAAAGTTTAATTACTGAAGAAAGTCTCAGTAGTTTTCAAAAATACCAAGCCTTATAGAAATATAATTTTCTTATAGTTGAGTTCTTTGGCGGGAACGTGCTTTAGAAGCCCTGCTTTGGATCATTCCACGCAGGCCTCCAACTTCCCCTTGTGCAACTCTGATGGCTGGTTCCGACCCAGAGCCCGCTCTGTGTGTTACTCTGTGCAGCAAAGTGGGTCGGAGCAAATTTCAGGAGCATCATCATAACCGAGCAATGCAACAGTACGCGATCCGAACAAGGCGTCAAGCGTAACAGGGAAACGTTCCCCATTAGTGAGACACAATCCTTGTCACGCTTTTAAGGTTATGTTGTGACTTTCATTTTTCAACTTGTCAAGAGGGTGAAACTAGACCCAAAGTTTTTAGGTGGCTCATCTTTATTTCTCAATTTTAAAAAGTCTGACCTAGCTGACGAGTTACGTAACAGGGAATTACGTAACAGCTACGGAAATGACGTAAGGAGGGCACCTGCGGGCACAAAGATGCAGCGGGGCGGGCAGACCTGAGACGCCCACTCGGAGGGATTCTTCAGCTGTCCTGGGGTGCAGCCGGGGTCCCCCGTCCAGCCAGAGACGACTCCGGTTTGGATGGCTGAGGAACGGTCTAGCGATCTGCCCAGACTCTCCCGAGGAAGGGGCAGCTGGGAGCTGCGACCCGGAAGGCAGTGACTATGTCAGTGACCCGCTCTTGGCACCAGGGCCACTCAGGCGGGATGCCCGGCGGACCTTCAGTCTCTCTACAAGGGTCTGATCTTCAGCGGGGACGATCGTCTCCAGTTGCCTCTGGAATCCTGAGCAGCCGGAAGTTTGGAAGGATCCCACCCTCCTCGGATTTGCGATGCTGCCTCATGCTGTGTGGCTCCCCAGCTGCCAGAGAACATCTCGTGGTGGCTTCAAGATCTAAGGCCCAAGCCCGCCATGGTGGCGCACGCCTGTCACCCCAGCACTTTGGGAGGCTGAGGCAAGAGGACTGCAAGGTGGAGTCCAGCCTGGGCAGCAGAGCAAGAGTCTGTCTCAAAATGAGGTGACAGCGGGCCCCGCTGCTTCTGCCCCAAGAGCTGGGCAGTGCTCACTAGCCAAACTGCTGCATCCGAGGCTCACGGGGCCCCAGCTTCCTACCGCCCTCGCCAGCTGCTGTCCTGTGGCATTGTGCTGCCTGCAGCCTGCCTGGGAGTCACCCTGTTTTGGTTTTTTAAAAAAAGAGTCTCACTATGTAGCCCAGGCTGTTCTCGAACTCACAGCGATCCTCCTGCCTCAGCCTCCCGAATGCTGGGATGACAGGCATGCGCCACCACATCTGCTGCCTGTGGTGTTTTGTTCTGGGGTCTCTGGCACAGTCTTGTGTGTAGCTTGTACCTTGTAGGGTGCGACCTTTGAGGGTGCCACTCTGTTTTCAAGAGCAACGTGTTACTTTGTATCTCTACTGCCCCCCCCCCAACGCCATCCTCTGTCTCTGCGTGTGGATCCACCCCGGCAGTGAGAAGCGGTGTTTCCGGGCGGTTTTGAGGTGTAATTCCCTGCTGGTAACGATGCCACAGGGGCTCAGTGGGAATCTGTGTGTCCTCTGTGAAGACACCGAACCGGCTCTAACTCGGACGAGCCCTGGCTGTGGACCTCCAGCACGTGCTCAGAAAGACTGAAGCCCGTCTGTTGGTGCTGTCTGGGAAATACACCTATTCATCAAGTCTTTTGCCCGTTTTTAATGGAGTTTTGTTTGTTGGTTTAGTTTAGGTTAGGTTTTGATTTTGGTTTTGAGACAGGGTCTTGCTCTGTTCAGGCTGGCCTCAATCTCACAGTGATCTTCCTGCTTCAGCCTCCCAAACGCTGGATTACGAGAGAGGGCTCCATGCCTGGCTTAGTTCAGGTTTTTGAGAAAAGATCTCACCATGCAGCCCAGAGTGGCCTTGGACTTACCATCCTCCTGCCTCAGCCTCCTGAGTGCTGGGATTATAGACATGTACCACCAAGCCTGGCTTTTGAGTTTATTATTGTCATTATTATTATTATTATTATGTTGTTGTAAATGCTCTATGTATTCTCAATGCTAGAATCCGTTCTGCGGGCTGGCTGTGCGCTCCCCTCAAAAGTTCACATTTTGAAGCACCAGCTTTCACCGTGGTGCGTCCGCAGCGGAGGTCAGGGTTAGACGAGATCATGAGGACGCTGCCCCTGTGATAGGATTAGTGTCCCTATCAGGAGGGAGAGAGACACCACTCTGAGTCTCACCCTGCCTCTCTTCTCTCCAAGCAAAGCCCATGTGAGCTCCGCCCGCAACCTCAGAGCCTGATTCAGCTGACACCGCCTCTGGACTCCAGACCCCCGCTGTGAGAGCTGTGAGGGGTGCCGCGTCACCGCAGAGGCTCGGTCTGAGGGTCTGGTTGCAGCCTGGGGGGAAGTCCCGGGAAGCGTAACTGCCCAGCGCCTGGTGTCACAAACCTCAAAACTGAGTCGGAGGTAGGCGCTTTGTCTCTCAGGACCCAGGGGCCGCAGAGGCTGGGACACCTGGGAAAGGCGTTTTTCACACTCTCCGGTCTTGGGGTTGTGGATATTTGGTCTACACTGGAGCTCCTAGCATAGTAAGACACAAGTATGAAGGGAGGCGTGGGGCAAGCACCTGAAACCCTAGCACTCTGGGAAGCTGAGGCAGGAGGATCACAAATGGAAGCCCAGCCTGGGCAACTTAGCAAGACTCTGTCTCTCTCACACACACAGGGCTGGGATGTAGCTCAGAGGGAAGGCCCTGGGTTCAAGCTCGGGGCTGCAAAAACAAACAAAGAACAACTAAGGCATGCTGCTCTCACTGATGAGCAGAGGGAAGAAAGACTTGGTGTTCATTTCCTGCGGATGCCAGAGATGGACCGAGCAACCTAACGCACGGCCAGTGGGGCTAGGGATGGCTGGGGACGTCTGGGGACAATCCTGCGGGGACTGGGACGGAGCTCCGGGTGTGCAGCTGCGAGAGAAACCGGGCAAATGTGCCAGGACGGCTCTGCCTGGCGGGGCCATGCTGGGCAGGCATCGGACTGAGTCTCCACACGAGGTCCTGGCCTAGTGAGTCTGGGTCAGTCCAGAACCCGGGTTCCGTGGTGACCCGTCCATGGGGAGTTTGCAGGCACGTGGTGCGGACTGTGGGAAGGCCACCTGCAGCATGAGCGGAGATCACACGGGACCCTGTCACCGGCCTGGCGTCTGCTCTCTGCTGTGATCCTGGGCCTTCCCAGTGTGGTGGAGAATGCTTTTGTGCCTCAGAAGTAAAAAATCTCCTTCACCCCAGGGGTGGAGGCGGGTGGCTGTCATCCAGCACCGGAAGGCTGAGGCAGGAGGGGTCAAGGAGTTTAAGGACAGCCCGGCCTACACAGCCAGCCCTGTCTCAAAAAACCAAAATACGATAAAATAAAATGTCTCAGTCCCTTCCTTGATATCAGAATCAACTATTTTCAATTTCTACTGTTCCCTTGCAGGGACTCTGAACACTTACAAGACGTGCCCAGAAACACACGACATGCGTGTGTAATATGCACACACACGCGCCTTTGCGAAGTCTCTCTGCCGCTTCTCTTCCGTGGCTGGGGGTGAACCCAGGGGTCTGCACACCACCCAGCTCAGCTCCACAGCGTGCCCAGCCGCCCTCTGCTGAACACAGATCACACTTGGCTTCCTGCTCTTATCCACAGGTTTGTAAAGCTGTCTCACATTAAAGCAGCGAGAACTCCTGCAGCCCCTTTTTTTCTCTCTCTCCCTCTCTTCTTAAGCAGCTCCTGCCTGTGCCGTCTGCGGTGTGCAGTTTCCCCAGCTTCTCCCTTGCAGAAGGACAAACCGGTTGCCTGGGGACTCAGGCCGGAGCAGGCAGACAGGCAGGATCTGGAGCCTCGGAGTGAACAGATGTATGGCTTCCGATTCCTCATTCATTCTCTGACGTCAGTTCTTGTTGGATTTTCTTCCTTTTTGCTTGTTTGTTGGAGACAGGGTCTCACTACAGAGTTCAGGCTGGCCTTGAGCTCATTATGTAGCCCAGGCTGGCCTCCAACTCTTAGAGATCCTCCTGCCTCAGCCTGCCGAGTGCTAGCATCACAGGTGTGCTCCACCATGCCCTGCTCTAGCTGGATTTTCTGACACTTGCTGCCTGAAGTGTCCTGGCTGACACAGAGGGGCTCTGGTATGAACTCTGTGGGTCAGGAGCTCCCCAAGGCAGGGCGACATCCCAGAAAGACTTGCAGGAAAGTAAGACAGCCGGGACGTGGGCAGAAGTCACTGCCAGGGAAACTTTCTGCTCGCTCTCGCTCCCCTCTCTGCCCACACACTCTCCTAAGTCACTATTTTCTTTCATTCTTTCATTTTGTTTTATTTACTGAGACACAATCTCGCTATATAGTTCGGTCTGGCCTTGAACTCACTGTGTAGCCCAGGCTAGCCTGGAATTCACAGCAATCCTCCTGCCTCAGCCTCCCAGGGCTGGGATTACAGGTGTGAGCCACCAAGCCCGGCTGTCACTATTCTCAATGAACAAAAGGACACAAACTTTAAAACAGTCTGATGATCACGGATTTACTTTTAACATTAATTTCCATTGGGTCTGATTTTCTAAGTACAGCTCTGATATAAAAGTTTCTTTTACAGCACATTTTACCTCCTTTTTCTTCTTCTCAAGAGTGAGTGCATTTATGGAGAAACATTAGGCTGGCAACCTTTCTGTCCCCAAAGCCCAGTCACTGGGCGTCTCAGTGGGGCGTGGACAGGAACATGAGCAGTGGGGGCCGGCGGCCGCACATGCATATCGGTGAGGAGAGGCCTGCGGAAAGTGGGGTGCAGTGGGGTGGGGGAGGCCCTGCGCCGTGGGCACTGGCTGGGGTCAGCCTTGCAGCGGGTCTTCAACAGCCAGGGGTGAGGGTGGCACATGCAGACTGATCCCGGTCTCTTCTTGTCCGGGCTGGACCTGGGGGGCAGCGACCTTCTGGGCCTCCACCTGCTGCCGGGAGTTGAAGCCAGGGCCTTTGCACTGGGCTCCATCCCCAGCCTTTTAAAATTTGTTATTTTGAGACAGAACCACTCTAAGACCCTAAGTTGACCAGGCCGGTTTTGAAGTTGTGATCTTCCTGCCTCAGCCTCCTGAGTAGCTGGAGTTGTAGGCACAGCCATCAGGTCCAGTCTGACCTTCGTGGGGCAGATACAGGACCATCTGAAGCAAGAAGGGGTGGATCCTCCGGAGAGGCAGCTTCCGGGCGGAGTGTGCTGCGGCCGAACCGAAGAGGGCGCCTCCCGGGGCTGTCTGCCCTCATCAGGCCCGGGTTTTGGGGCAGCCCAGGCCGGGAACTTGCCTCAGGGCGCCGGAACTTGGGGCACAGGCCCAGCAGGAAGGGTCTGGGAGGGGGTC